GAGGAAGAGTGCAACTTATTATTGTAAAAAGTGGGTCCTGGAGCTGTAGGACTGCTTTAGGGGGTACCCTTGCACCCACTGTAAACCAGGCAGCTGGACAGGAGAAKGCACTGACCCACATGGGCCAATCACTGTCTCCCTCCCCTGGGGCTCTAGCTCATCTTTAATGAAAGTAAGACTACCTTGCAACTGTGAGTGGCCGCTCTCTTCCACGCGTAGGGAGAAAGAATGGCAGAGCCTGCAGAAGAGGGCGCATGAGACCTGTGCGGAGCAGGCCGCACTCTAGCAAGACATCAGCTCCTGAGGCCCTGCTCTGCTCCAGCACATGGGCACCAAGGGAAGCGTCAGCCTTCCAATAAGGCCCGCTGGTACCAAATCCAGAGGAGATTACTATGTGACCAGCTGACTTAAGAATTCTGCACCCTCCGCAGCACACATACCGGAGACAGSGATTCTATATGAAGCCCCGAGGGCTCCTCTTCTGCTGTACAGGGATACTCTGAGGACGACACACGCCACAATACAGCTGTGTGACACACAGGGTTTCCACATCTTCCCACTCGCCAGGGACTATTCCCAGACCAGAACCCCGCCGCCTCTCCTGCTATTTGTTCCTGTGGGCAACAGTACCCGGCCAGCAGGGTGTCTGCATGGTCTGCTGTGATTYGGACCACCTGCCGGTGCTCCAGTGTCTGCACTCCCCTGCAGCTTGTCTGGACAGCCTGATATCCTGCTGAATCCTGCAGTCCCCCGCGATGGGTCTCCCATGCTCAGAGCATCCCCCACACCGACATCGGTGCCTGCCACAGCAAGGCTCACAGGTGTGGAGAACACACACCACTCTGCTTGCACACCCAGCACCGTGATGGACCTCTGCACACACATCAGGAACCAGCAGGAGCCCAGAGAAAGAGGTGTAMGCATCTGTGTGGTTCTGAGGGGCATCTGACCCACAGAGCTCAGGCAGAAGAAGCAACMCAGGTGCAGAGAGCATGCCAAGAGTTTCCCTTAAAACTGAGGAAACATTTCCCTCTACAGACTTCACTCCAGTGCCTGAAGGGTCATGAATCGAGACTTCATTTAGGGGGAAAGATGTCAAAAAGCCATGGAGAGGGGCTGGGGCAGGGGCTCAGCGGTGGCACACTTGCCTGGCACGTGTGAGGCACTGGGTTCGATTCTCAGCACCGCATATCAATAAATATAATAAAAGTCTATCTAACTAAAAAAAAAGCGATGGAGAATTAAGTGCCTCAAGAGTATTAGAGAAGTACAAAGCGCACAGGAAAGAGACTCGCATTTCATACACTTCCCCCCTCCCCCACAACGGCTGACCTCTAAAAGGTGCCTCACTAGCTGGGGTGGGGGTCGAGCTCACAGGCAGAGCACCTGCCTGGATGCACACACCATGGGGTCAGTCCCCAGCACCACATAAACAGTAACACAAAACTCCATCAGAGAGAAACAGTGATCTCACACTTTGGTGACAGTCTCAGATTTATACTGAAGAAAGCAGGCATTTTAGATTTCAGTGTTATGAAAAGAAAACCAAACTTTCCTATGTAGAAAGACAAAATAAAAATATACCATGAGTTATGACTATGTGTTAATCCCTAAGCTACCTTAATGCCAACTTTTCTTTAATGGGCGTATGTTCCTTTTACAATGAATTTTAAAAAACATATGTAATGGCTGTACATTGTAAGGGGAACTTACTTGAATACTCTCATAATTAAAAAACAGGTCATGAAATGATACATGTGATATTCCTTTCAGTTGTTTGAGAATGCACTGGCAGATAACTGGAGGAAATGTCACAATACTAATACCRGTTGCATTAGATGAAATGACAAGTCACTTACTAAGGTCGCATGGCTAAAGGGGAGTAGAGCTGAACGTATCTATCGCATTTCACTTTCTCATCCCGGCTGACTTAGAGGGTATAAACTGATAAACCTTCACCAGGTCAGAACGATCACTGCTCCTCCCAGCCGCAGCCCCCTGAGAGAAGCAGAGGAAGGCCAGGCACAGCGGCCACACAGGTAATCCGGCTGCTTAAGAGGCTCAGGCGAGAGGACTGCATGTCTGAGGTCAGCCTGGGCAGCTCAGCGAGACCCTGATGGGAAGTGAAAGAGAAGGCCTGCCTAGGAGACGTGGCTCAGGTGCCGAGCGGGGCCTGCCTAGCATGGCATCCCCAAACAAAAGAGGGAAGAAGAAATTTGATATTGAATGTGGTTGAAAATCTCAATAAAAATAAATGAGAGCTGGTTCACATTTTTTAAAGTGCTACATATTAAAAAAAAAATGCTCTTTGAATTGGCTCTAAAAGGTACTATTCAATTCAACTAAAATTTACTGTGCTCCCAAGGAACTGTGAGGGACTAAGACGGGTGCTCTCTTGCTTGGCCCTTAAAGCTCCAGAAGGAGAAAGAACATGCACTTGATTCTGCAACCAGGGGCCGGCAGGAGCTGTGCCTGGGGGTCTCTCACCCTGGGGAAGACAAATGCGTCATGGATTTCTTTTCCTGCAGGACAAGACCCCTGCAGGGAGGGCTGCCTTCTTTGGCTTCTCTTCCATACCCCTGAATGAACCCAACTGGCTGTGCAGGAGGTCTGTCTGGAAAATGTCCAGAACCAACCGTGACAGCATGGCAGGCCTGCTCACAAGCCCTGACCTCGAGCAGGTCACCGCTCAGCTGCCACCCAGGGAACGCTGTAGGGAGCCGCTCACAGGACGCTTCAGGAGGGCACTTAGCGAAGGGTGGTGGGAAGCACTCTTTTCCAGCAAAATAACTGGCAGAATCTGTAATTCAGAAGCATCAGGAGAGTYCATTCCCAGGCTCACACAGGATAGCCACCCAGACTGAAGCAGAACCCACAGGGCTGTCCTCCCACTGTACCACGCCTACCCCACGACAGAAGGCCYGCAACACCCGCATTCCAAAGAGTGTTTGCCAAAATAAAGGTAAAAACAGAATGCTGTGTTCTTTGTGCCAGTCAGGATTTCATACTTGTCTGGTATTCAAATAAAATTTTATACAGTTTTCAGGATTATAATCAAAACCATCAAATATATAGACTAAGGATAATTCACAACTATTTTACACACAGAAAAATACAAGGCCAGGTTTCATGGGTGCACTACCTGAAGCAGCAGCAAACCAGGAGGCAGGAGGTGGGGGAGCAGAGACACACCCCCCCCACCTCGGAGCCCAGCAGGCTCACAGCAAAGCGCAACCACCCGAGCTTCAGACTCAAGGATGAAATTAGAAAATTTAATAAAAATTAGATAAACAGAAATATTTTACTTCAAAGGAAGAAAAAACAGCTGGATCATCATTGAATTTGACATGCAAAGTAAAAACAACACAGTCTATTTAGAGACACACTCTGTCCAAAGTGGTGAAGTGGAAGAAACACTTTTACAAAGTGGTGTGAAGAGCTCCTGCTGGTCTCCTCCTCTCCGCCTCTCCCCAATACATTATCCATTTTCAAAAAAAAAAAAAAAATCACCGTTGATAGACTAAATACTAGAACCTATGAGTTTCACTTCATTCCCTGCAACTTAAAATCAAGAGAAAAAAAAAAAAGATTTTAAGAGAAATAATTCTGACAATCCCCACACTGACCCGAGGTGCTGTCTCCTGCACTTTAATGAAATGTGATTGTCACTGTAGTTAAGAAGGAATGTCACAAATAGAGAAACGAAACGCACACTCTCTGAAATGGGATCCTGGTACAAACTTGATACCAATTAGTTTGTAAAATACCTACCCTTAAGAAGAACTACCCGCCCCCACAGATAGACTATTTCAATTTCATTTTATTATGAAAATGAGAGAAGCCACAGGAAATGGCAGCAGCCGGTGTCTGATGCGTTCCATCAGCAGGAGGGTCCACARCAGGCCATCATGACCTCAGGGGTTGAAGATCTGACCTTCCCTCTGGTGAAACCTAGACTTCCCGCCCGCCTGCTCAGGTGTGAGGATCCCTACGCAGCACTTTTCACACAACAGACACAGTGCCCAGGTTTTCCATCTTTCACTCTGTGATATGATCACTTACCAACAGTCAAAGCGGACATTAAAAACCAAACCAGCCTCAGCAACAGCAAGGCGCTAAGCAACTCAGTGAGACCTGTCTCTAAATAAAATGCAAAATAGGGCTGGGGATGGGGCTCGGTGGTCGAGTGCTCATGAGTTCAATCCCTGGTACCAAAAAACCAAAACCATACTAAAGTATTCATTGACCAATCACAGTAATAATAAAAACTCATGACTGAAGTCRTGCCATCGATTTCTATGGCACGCGGGAACCGTTCCAATCAAGAGCTCAGTAACAGACTCTTGGTGTGAAAGATACTTGGCCATGTCTGAGAATGCCCCCCTAGTGAATTTCACTGCCTTTTAAATTTAAATTTTATTTACTAGCTCCCTCAATTGAAGAAATGGTAAACACTTTTTAAAAATGCTGCCTCCCAAGTGCTGGAACCCATCTGCAGGCTCARACTCTTGGATGTATAGGCCATCAGGAGCCCTGCTCTTAGGCTTTGAATATTTTTTGTACTTTGAAATGTGGACTCTGAAAACCAGCAGGAGTCGGGTGGTCAGCTGGTGATGCGTTTTCCACTGGGATCAGATCTGACTGGTGTGCCTCCCCGCTGTCTACACACGCCAGTGAGTGGGCACAGCACACATATGCTCACACCCACTGTTTACACCAGGGACGGAGGTCGGATGCTGTCGGGAGCCGTCCTGTTGGGCAGCCAGGAGCGCGGTTCGAAGCCACGGCTCCACAGCTCATTTTAATCCCCACCTTCCAGGTCACGCCAGGGCCAGCTCCTTCTGATAAAACTGACTCCTGGGCATCGGCACTCCCTCCTGTCCCAGCACACRCACCAAGGTCCCCGCTGATCAGCCACTTCTGAAGTGCTACCTGCGACTCTCCCTCGTTCCAACTTACTCTAAATGAGAGCATCTAAAAGTCCAGTGGACAGAACTCACTTGGCTTTCTGAATCCACACACAGTAGTCTGAGATGTAGAGGTCGTTCAGAATGTAAGCAGGGTCATTTTCCTGAAATATTTTGTGAATATCCAGTAGACACTTGAGAACTGCACTTTTACCTGAAGGCAATTGAAGAAAGAAAAAAGAGGAAAATCAAATCATCCTAAAGAAAAAACACCTGATATTTTTAACTCAGAAATTCAGACACCAAGGAATAATATATCTAAAGCAGCTTAGAGTTTTAATCATTTCTTAAGAACATTTTTTTCTAAGCAATATTTTTAATATTCCTTTAGTATATGAAAAAATACCAGTCATATTAGGTCCAAACCCTTCCTTTCCTTAAGGATTATGAACACTCTCTATTGTTACAGTTGATTAATCATAGCTATCATAAAATACCATAAAAATTCTACAGAATATAACTGTCAATTAAACAAAAGGAGAGTTTTCGAAACTAAATGGCTATTTAACAGCATCATATTTGTTTGTTTATTTGTTTATTTATTTATTTATTTTTGGTACCAGGGATTGAACTAGGGGTGCTCAACCACTAAGGCACATCCTAGCCCTTTAAAAATTTTTTTTTAGATGCTTAGGGCCTCACTAAACTGCTCAGGCTGGCTTTTTTTTTTTTTTAAATATATGAGAGAGGAATGCATTACAATTCTTATTACACATACAGAGCACAATTTTCATATTTCTGGTTGTATACAAAGTATACTCACACCAACTCATGTCTTCATATCTGTACTTTGGATAGTAATGATCATCACATTCCACCATCATTACTAACCCCCTGTCCCCTCCCTTCCCCTCCCACCCCTCTGCCCTATCTAGAGTCTGTCTATTCCTCCCAGGCTCCCCCTCCCTACCYCACTATGAGTCAGCCTCCTTATATCAGAGAAAACATTCGGCAGCATTTGGTTTTTTGGGATTGGCTCTGAGGCTGGCTTTGAACTGTGATCCTCCTGCCTCAACCTCTTGAGCCGCTGGGATTATAAGCGTTTGCTCTGGCCAGAGCATCATATTTTTTTTTTTTTAAAAGATGGACAGAATATCTCTATTTATTTACTTACTTTTATGTGGTGCTGAGGATCGAACCCAGGGCCTCACGAGTGTGAGGCAAGTGCTCTACCGCTGAGCTATAACCCAGCCCCACATCATACTTTTAACTAGATAGTATTTTTCAACCCAAGCTTTCAAAATAACAGAGAATTAAATTCAGCTTTCAAACTTCTTTACTCTTATGGCAACATTTTTCATCAAGGAATTACCTAGAAGTATTAAAAGTTTTCACCTTAAAAAATTGAAGAAAACTGAGATTGAAACTAAAACATCATAGCACTAGTTGCTCACAGCGTCCCCAGGTCCCCCGCCCCCCCGAAGCGTAAACATGCCTRTGCGGATTTCAGGGAGCCTCTCGCCTTGTGTCCGCTGCATTTCCATCTGACTTTTAGATTTCACAAGAACCACTTTAGTACAACCCACACTAGCAAGCCAGCTTGGAAGAGCTGCCACTCTGCTGAAGAAGCGCTGACCAGGGCCGAGGGAAGCCTGCAGCGGCCCAGGCCCTGCCATCAAGAGCCAGGAGAGGCATGAGGTCACAGGCCACCCAGCCACACCCTCCAGGCGCTTCCCCATTGGCCATGGTGATCCTTCTTGGACATGCCCTTCCCCCACCTCCTGAGCCCCTGTCCCATTCGGACACACAGCGGGCTCAGAGAGGATCCCAGCACAGCAGGGYGTGTACACTGCTTTCCCTCCAGAGACAGCATGGCAGGTCTTCTCACTGCAGGTCCCCAGCCCAGCCAGCTGGCCTCCAGCTCCCAGGAGTGGGGCAGGAGTGGCTCCCTGGGACTCCCTTAGGAGGGACTTAACACTAGCACCCTGGTGTTGTAAGTGACAAGAGGCACAGACGGCTGACTTCAGGGAAAGGACTGTCTAACAGTAACACGTGGAAACGTAATGACGACACAAGGAGACACTGCGTCCCTAAAAGCCGGGGGCGGTTCACGGGGGTGCACACAGCCTCTGGCTCTGCTGTCACAGGAAGGTGAGGTCAATGCAGTGTGCTTTGCTGCCTGGGCAGACKCGGCACCGCAGGGTCACACGCCTCAACATGAAGACGAGCCGCAGCTGCGGTCAACGGCCATCCTTTGGCTACCCAAAGTCCTCTCGGCAGACCAGGCTTGGCAGTCACCTCCTGACAGACCGGCTCCTGGTTGGAGGCACTTAGGAAACGGCTCCCATCCCCACAAGAGATCAGGGCACTGGATGTTTCAGCTGACTGAAGGCCAGCTCAGGAGGGGGCGTGCCCACCACCAGCTCCACATCTCTCTGCAACTGCTGGCACCACGGCAGCCGGCGCCGGGCCCCGGGACGGCATTCCACCCTGGCAGCTCAGAAGTGCAGGAGAGGAGAGGCCGAGGAGGCCGAGGAAAGGCAGGTGGTTATTTAAAGACCTCAAGGAAAACACAGCGTGGTCCTTATTTATAAATAACCTCAGAATGAAGGCCGACCTCCCCGTCATCTTCACATACGTAACTTAGACACCTTGCTGGACTCCTGGGTTCTGATGAGAACTTAGGACCAAACGGATCCTAAGGACTTTATTTTACATTAATTTTCATAAGCTAGAAACATTGTGTCAAATTAATTAAAATCTAGAGAATCAAAGCAGGTAACCCACTTTAGCATCAGGCTGCATTAGGTCAGAGAGTAAAATCAAGTCCCCAATGAGTAACACAGACATACACGATAAAGTCAGCATTAAAAAGAAAAGCTTCTCAGGGCAGGGGGTGTGGCCCAGTACCCAAAAAAGGAAAGGGAAAAAAAAAGCTTCTCCATCTGTGTAATTTTAAAATTCTCAAATTTCTCAGATGCTGTTCAAGTTTTTACATTTCTGAGTTGTAAGAAGAAACACATACTTCAAGCAATGAGTTACTATTTTAAGGACTAGTTGAGTCTTATAGCAACTGAAAAGTACTCCTGTGTTATTAAGATTATATTTATTATTCCTATATTCACAGACAAAATTAACATGAAGCAACAGCCTGTGTAGATGCTCCCTTTGCTTAGAATCAACAAACCTCAACCAATCCCAAGCTACCACCCAGGTCTCAATCGGCCACGACTTCTGGGAACAGAGTTCCAATTCTCCCAGGCTGGCGTGGGGTCCCTGTGACAGCAGGCAGTAGCGACCCAGTGTCCTGCAGAGGGCACTTCACGCCCGTTACGTCATCAGGCCTGGGAGGTAGGTCCTTTCTTCCTTGTCTCATCAGAGGACGATGAATGTGGAGACTTTGAAGGAGCCGGCCCAGATCACAGCCAGGCCTGGAAACCAGGAGCGTGTGACCTGCAGCCGCTGTGCCATACACACAGGGTCAGCGTCCACCACCTTCTGAGCTGAAGGGACATGACAGTTCATCCTTCCTCCCTGGTCCAGAACATTGTCCTGCAATTGTGTGATCTTCTTCAATAAAGTGTGGRTCAATCTGCCCCAGAGGACATGCCTCACTCCAAATGTACCTGGCCAAACTGCTGGTCATGTCCCTTGTGCTCTGAGGACTGGCTATCGGTTACTGCATCGTGACACAGGCAGAGCAGAAGTTCCATGACTCCTTCCCTTATGATATTTACCCCCGAAAGAACGTGGCTGCCCGACTTTCTCACATCTCTGCATCATGAAAGTTCAATTAAGAAATGTAATCCTCAGGAGGCTGAGACAGGAGGATGACGAGTTCAAAGCAGCCTCTGCAAAAATGAGGCCCAAAGCAACTCAGCGAGACCCTGTCTCTAAATAAAATTTTAAAATGGGCTGGGATGTGGCTCAGCGGTCAAGTGTCTGAGTTCAATCCCTGGTACCCACCCCACCCCCACCAAAAAAAGAAACGGAACCCAAGGCTGCTTTTTGCCTTTTCTGCAGTAGCAGTCCCTGTAGGATCCGCTGGTCTGGAAGGACAGCCCTGACACCAACTCCAGCCTCCTCCCGGGCCACCTGGGAAAGCAGTGCTTGTGCCAGGCGTAGTGGCCCACGCCTTCGATCCCAGCTTCTCAGGGGCTGCCGCAGGAGGACTGCGGGTTCAAAGCTAACCCCAGCAACTTAGCGAGGCTAAGGGAGACCCTGTCTCCAGATGAAACATAAAATAGGATGGGGATGGGGCTCAGTGGTTAAGTGCCCCTTGGTTCAATCCTCAGYACCAAAAAAAGAAAAAGAAAAGAAAATTACTAATGGCAGCATGTCTAATTTAGGAGGGAGGCATCCAAGGTCAAGGCGGAACACGCAAAAAAAATCCCCATTTACACAGCACGTAAAAAGGTAGGAAGGCTCAGAAGTTGACAATCTAAGACGGTCTTTAAAATCCAGTTGTGCAGCGGGAGCCTGCAGGCGCATGTCTGGACTTAATCTGAGTCTGTTCCCACAGGGCAAACGGAGAGACAGTTGTTCAGAACTCACTGGGACTTARAATGAGACAGTGAGCACGCAGGTGTTCACACATGTGGCAAGGGGGACGAGGACAGAGGTCTCGTGGGACCCAGGATCCTGGCACTCCTGTCCTGCCTCCAGCCTGCTACCTGCTGGGCTATGTCCTTCCTCCTCCAGGCCACACTGCCTGTCCCCGGCTACCTCAGGCCCCGACAGGAGTGTCTGCTCCCTTCAACGTGCCACCAGCCTCATCTCCATGCTAAGTGCCGCTGCCAGATGGACTGGGCTCCACGGGTCCATCAACAGGTGACACACGCTGGCGGACCTCCCCTAACGCCCCATCTCCTTGGCGAGCGCCTGGGGGCACAGGGCCATCTTTCCCATCTCTTCTCTCAGCYAGGCCCGCAGACAGATGGGCAGAGGTGCTGCGTCCTGGACACAGAACCGGTTACGTCTCTCTACCTAGTGCCTCCTGTGGCAGCACCACTCCCCCACTTTCCCAAACACTGGGAAGGTGCCAGGTGCCACTGGCACCTCACTCAGCAGCCTGTGCCGTCGGCTTCCTCTTGGCACCCCTGCACACACAGCTCCTCCTGGAGCAGAGCAAGGAGTGGTCCTAGAGCTCCACGGCCCACCCTGTCCACCCCCCTGGGCTTTCCCACGGCTTTCCTGCCTGAGCTACCTGAGACG